GGTTTTTCTAATTTCGAGATTTCAGCTATTTTTCGATTGTTTTCGCTTGGGTATTGTTTCATTGGCATATTGTGACGCATTTGATCAGATTCGACGCACGAGGAGGTCGATTCGAAAGGCAAGGGCATAACGAGCTAGGATTTTGGCCGGCTTGAGGTGAGTAATAGATGTAAATGCTGCTCTGAGGGTTTGAAACCCCGTGCTTGCACATCGTAGTGCTATATTGAGGTGACTTGCACGCCGGGTAGCAAGCGTGGGGTGGAGCACCGTTGGGGATTGTGACTTGGTCCGTCCCGGTAGATGAATATACTGCGTATTTGACTGAAATTTATTTATTATTATTTTAATTGAGATGATTGCTATATTTGGGCTTCGTGCCAATTGATTAAATCCTTCAGGGATTGTTAATACTGGTTTCTTACCATTTCTACATATCATTGAACTCAGTCCTAGAATTTAATACTGTTTTGCAACTCAGCCACTTTTCTCAAACTAGAAACTTAATTAACATTTTCAAATGAAGTTTGGACTGAATATTTTTATATTATTGTGCCCGAGAGGCTTATGTGATTTCGGACCAAGTATGGGATCGGGCTGCGCGCCGCAGCGGTATGATATTGATATTGATATAAGGCCAAGAGCCTAGCTGATGCCACGAGATGGCTTATTATTGCGCTTGGGCCGTAAGGGGCCCCTTCCGGAGTCTGCACACCCCCAGTGAGCGCCGTCGACGATAAATAAATGGAGCGGGCTGCACGCTGCAGCGGGTACTGGAGAGTACCGGTCTATGTGTTGCATTGCATACTTTGATTGTCATTTACTTATTTACCTGTTGTGATATTTCTATGATTGTGTTCACTGATTTATTGATTTTATGCTACTGGGTTCAAGTTGCTGTGTTTATAAAATTACTTTGTGCTTATTCAGGATTTCTTATTCTCAGCCTTTATTTATGTTTATTACTCACTAGGTCGGAGTACTCACATTACTCCCTGCACCTTGCGTGCAGATCCAGGTACTACTGAGGCTGAGTGAGGACTTCTCTGCCTAGCATCATATTTGGGAGTTTCGAGGTAGCTGCATTTGACGTTCGCAGTCCTGATCTTCCTTCTATCTTATTTACTTTATTTCCGCATTTCTAGAGAACAATATGTAGTAGGTTGATACTCATGTATTAGAGGCTCAGACTTGTGACACCGGATTCTTCGGGCTGTGTAGTTATTTTATATTTTGGGATTTCCGCATGTTTAACTCTATTCCCGAATTTTTAGTATTTTGACTTAATAATTATCTGTGTTACTTAATTCATGAACTGGATAAAATGGTTAAGGTTATGTAATTGGTCGGGCTTGCCTAGCAGTGTGTTGGGCACCATCACGACCGGGGTTGGGGTCGTGACACATGGTTTTTGTAACATTAACTTCAATCAGCATCCTTGCATAGGAGATTCGTGTTTGCTTGGTATATCAGTAAGGACTTCTTTGCTTAAGTCAAATTCTAGTGTATATGGCTTGAGGATTATTGGTCTATTTCTGATAATGTGAGGTCCAGAATAGAACACTTGATACATATCTATTAATGTCTGGAACTTTATCACATAATACCCATCATCATGAAGAAATAAGTCTGCCTCAGCAACATCTAGCCAATGTTGAGCAATATAACGCCTCATAGCATTATACCCAGGGTTATCTCCAATGATGTAGGCTATTAACGCAGCATTCCATTTCTCCTCTGCCACTTTCACATCTTGTAAATCTAGCTTTACCACAGTTTGGCCATCCACAATTTGAGGTGGAACGCATCTGAGTGGCATTCCATGAGTGGCTACACGGTTCTGCTGGAACAATTTAGCCCATGCTCTTAGTTCAGCCCTTCCTTCTGCATGATTCGTCTCTTTAGGATTCTTATTCACAATCTCATTCTCATTAGGACCTATAGAGGTTTCAGTTTGATTTGTAGCATGCTCCTTGCTCAGAACCCCTGCTTTTTGCATGTCCTTAGGGTTAGGCGCATCTACTATTCCATTGAATTTTTCCTCAACCCTACGATTGGTACTTGTACCAATTTGTTCAGTTGGTATTGGTGCACTAAGTGACAATTTCCTACTTACCTCAGAGCTAATCGAAGAAGTTGCTTCATCAATTCCAGCCATCACTATCCCTTGTTGCTCTGGTGTTTTCAATTCCTGCGTTTGCACTTGAATTACTTTCCCGGCATTTGCATTGTTGTTTGTTGAACTTCCAGACATTGTAATCGGTGTTTTTTGTGCTTTTTTGGGCCTTAACCTTCCTCTGCCTCGCCCCCTTCCCATGGCAGACGCACCAGCGTACGTTTAGCAAACGTGCGCTGAGAGCATGAGAGAGACGGCTTTTTTTTATTTTAAACGTAAACTTTTACTCAAAATTAAAATTTTTACAACACTTGTTAAATTTATCTATTGAGCAAAAGCAAGGACAAAATTTAAGACCATCTACTTAAAGAGTTATTTCCATGCTTACTGGAATGTGTTCAAGAATTCATCGTCTAGACCCGAAAAAATATGTATCATCTAACGGGCCCGGATAGTGCTTTCAAGATATATAGTACAAGCAACCAAAATTGCATGGGGCACCCTATTTGGTCGCCCCTTTTTAACTTATACCCGTTTTGTTTTTTCGTTTGCATCCGCACCCATTTTTTTTTGTTAAAAGCGTTTTAAAAAGACAATTTTGCCATTCAGGACTATTGACAAAAATATAGACTGCAGGACAAAACTTAAGCATGTTTTTGGTATGAAGTTTTAGCAAATGCATTAAATAACTTCAGCATGCATTAGAAAAAACTCATGAGAAAATTACATACTGCAAGACAAAAACTTAAGCATGTGTAGTCTGAAGTTTTAGCAAATGAACAAAATTAAGCATGTTTAGTCTGAAGTTTTAGCAAATGAACAAAAAATCTTAAGCATGTTTTAGTATGAAGCTGCTGATTCAGATATTCATTGACATTCTGCCATGTAATCAAGTATGTCCCAAAAAGTTCTTCAACATATGAGATCCAAAAAAAAAAAACCAACCCATAAGAAATACTATATAAATAAGTAAAATTTGAAAAAGTAGAAAAAAAAAAGAGAAACAATGGCTGAAGCGAATGCGTGCATATTTTGAACGTGTTACGTTATGCTGATGAATAACGGCAAATTTGTCAGGGGTGTAATTGTCATATTATTACGGATTTTTTGTCAGCTGGCTACCAAATCAATAACTTTTAAAAATAGGGTACAGGTTAAAAGGTGGCACAAATATAGGGTACGGCTGCAAATTCCCCGTACAAGCACCAGACAAGGTCGGCTCTAATGTTGTAGTCAATAAGGCTTGTGCCTTAGGCTCCCAAATTTGGGAGGCCCCATTTTATAGAGATAATAGATTTATAGATATTTAAAAAAATAATATTTAATACTTTAAGTACAAAAGTATATTCTCTCGTATGAACGGAATTTTTTTTTTTTGCTAGCTACGTAAATAAAGTAATTGTTTGTCTTACTTAAAAATGGGTAGTATGAATAGTTAACACGTGAATTGAGATTGATTTAACAAGATAGTACAAATAGAAGATAATATTATAATCGATATACCCAATCAAATAAATAGATTTTTTTTTTCAAATACTTAAATTGCTTATAGAATATTGTTAATAGTTCTTATAACAGTTGCCTCAACGAAAGAATTTTTTCAAAATTGAAGTCTATAAAATTTTAGAAGATCAATAATGCTTCATGAAAGATTAAATGGATTGGCTAAATTGGTTGAAACAAATAACTTGAAAAAAGTTATTATAAAATATTATTAACAACTTTGCATCTCAAGATCTAGAAGAATAGACTTCAAATAACATATATATTATAACCTTTTTTTTTAAAAAAAAAAATTAAGTCTCACATTAATTTTTGGCTTTAGGATACACATGTAATTGAGTTGCGCCGTGGGCCACCAAAATAAATGTTTTTGTATTATGCTACTCCTACTTTTTTTCCGTCTCCTTTAATCTCTTTGTTAAAGTTATTGCTCCTTTGTTGCCAAGGACCCGCAACCTTGGGTTGTAGGTGGGAGGGGTTGTAAATTTCTAAACCATTTTTACTATGTCAAGGAAATACTATAATATCTGAGAAAACTCCCTCATGAAATCTATACATTGATTTTAAGGTAGGAAAATTATATTTTAAATGTGCATGTCTATGAATCAACTGTCGTAAAACTCTAACGGGTCGTTTGGTAGGGTATATAAGAATAATGCGAAGTAAGGTGTATTATTAATGCAGGAATTAGTAATGCATGAGTTAATAATGCAAGCACTAGTTATGCAAATATTATTTCTTGTTTACGGTTTGGTGTGGTGTATTAAAAATTATAATGCATTGCATAATTTTGAAGAAAAATAGTTGTTTACAAAAATGCCTTCCAAATTCTCTTGCTTTAAGGGACTTTAAGGATAATTTTGTCTTTAACCATACTAATGTATGCATTAATAGCCTTGGTATTGCTAATGACACGATTTTCTATGTATTACTTATACATAGGATAATACCAAGTATGATGTATGACTAATACAAGCATTAGTTATATACAAAAAATGTACCAAACAAGGTATTATTAATGCAGAGAGCTAATGCTTGCATTATTTTTTCCAATACCTCCGACTCCTAAGTATGATATATATATATATATATATATATATATATATATATATATATATATATATATATATTAACTCCACTTAATTTTCTGATATGTTATATATTTTGACACCCCTTAACTAGTCCGGCTCCGCCACTGGCCACAAAGACACTAAAACAACAGAATTAGTCAATTTAACAAGCGCCATGTCCATGTCAAGCTGGCAATATAGTAGTCAATCTAAAGTAGCAAAAGGTACTTAACAAGGAAGAAGAGAAACCACCATACCTGTAAAGCAGAGTTAAGATTTGAAAAAGCAGAGCATATTAAAAGTGAAAGGACATGCCGATTCTCCCATTGTATGCGACTTTCCAAACATTCCCATCATTACTGCTTCCTCCTCTTTTTTCCTCTTTTATAATTCTAGCATTTTCGCCACAATGATCAGCAGTGTGTTTTAGATTCAGTGAGAGAAAAAAAGAAAAAAGATGGCAGTTTCACCTGAAACAATGCCGGAGAATTCTGTCATCGACTTCCGTGCACCGCCGCCGTCTCCGATCGCCTCTGGACGGCGATCCTGCGTCACGAACGATGAAATCCTCACGGAATTTCTAGAAAATTCGCTCAAAGTCCCAGACCTCAGGCTTCCTGATCGAGTCTTCCCCAGGCAAAAATCCATTCGCAATCCATCAAAACTCAATTATGAGTCCTTAGCGTCGTTAAACAATGACTCAATTTCGAAAATTCTGGATTCGGTTGCAACGATTGGGTGCTTTGAGGTGGTTAATCATGGAATTTCAGGAGATCTCATCAAATCAGTCTTGTCCGTCGATGACGGAATCTTCGGGATTTCACGGGAGGGAAAGGCAAAATTGATGAGGTTATCGGAGAAGCCATATGGATTTGAGGAGTTTCACGGAGAGGAAGATAGAGAGACGAGTGAAGAATTCGTTTGGTGCAGAGGTGATCAAAATTTCAACAAGGAAATGGAGGGAGTTTGGCCTATTGGATTTTCGAATTTCAGGTAATTGAAATTTACAAACTTACTAGTCAATCGTTTGTACTAAGACTGATTTAGACGCAAGTATGAAAAATTTTATGTCATTTTTAGCCGAAATTTTAGTCATTTAAGGAATCAATTAACCATAGAGTATTGCTCAAATTCTTTAAAAATACTTTAGCACTTAGTGTGAATTGTAAAAACAATATATAATAAATATTTTTGAACGATCCAAACAACATAACTCATAATTCGAACCAGCCCAAAAAAGGCCACATGTCTGCATGGTGAAAGCATCTTGCTTGAATTTTCTGAGGAACTATATATTGTGTACCTCTATGTTAGAGATGAATACAATTTTTACAATAAGTGGTTTTAGAGAGTGTGCTATTTATATACTACGAATATATTCTGAATTGAAGGACAGTTATTAATGCAATCACTCTCACTGTCGAAGCTGGATTGTCATGATATCTATGTTCGAATTTCGTATAATGGTTGTGTGTCTATGATGTAATATCACAATGTCTTGAGATTCATGTGTGGGACTTAGTTTTGTGAGGCTTACGCTCCCAAGCGATCTTAATGCGCTTAACGTTCTACGCTCGGGACTCGCCCAATATTTCTTATGCAAATCATAGGTTGTATTCATTAATTTGCATTGTTGACTCTCAATATTCTTTAACAAATGAATCATTAAAGTTTTTTTTTTTTTAAATCTATAGGAATATGAAAATTGTAACTCAAACAACGAACCATAAAATTGAATATTTACTAATTGAGAACATCGTGAGGGTGAATATTATTTGAATATTTCTTCTAAAAATAGATAACCAAATTTATAATATTTTACTTGATAAATCTTTATGTCTTAGTTCTATGTCTCTCAAAATTATCGTATATTTATTATTTTACTATTTAAAAATAATTTTATATATACTCATGAAAGAGTAATATTTTAAATTACGGTATGTTGATAAAATTTATTGACTATTTACTTCTAAGGAGGTAAAATATGCAGTTTGATAATATTTTTTTAAGAAATTGTGATTGTCAATTATTTAAAAGTTAAGACATTGTAGTTAATTTATATTTCATAGTAATTTTAACAATATTGTATTATTTATACTTTTAAAACATGCTAGATATTTTATTTTATATGAGTTTATTTAATTCTTTTTAGTTTTTGAACTTTTAATGTATCTTTTATATTTTTTGTGTTATACATTATTAATACATAAATGTGAAAAACTAATAATCTGCGGGACTTATATTCCATGTCTCGAGGCTTTCGCCTCGCCTTGTATTAAAACGTCTCGCCTCAAGCCCTCGCCTTTTAAAACATTGAAGTAAACAAGCATTCACGCATAATTAATTATGGACTCGAACATATATTGATATGTTAAACATGACCTCATAGTTGATTAGTTGCTGCAAATTACAGTAACGACAATCTTTTTGTTAATTACATTGTTTATAGTATGCATGCACAAACTAAAATCATTAGCATCACGTACTAGTACTTCTTTTTTTCTTTCATTTTATTCTTGCTCTTCATGATTCTTGTGCATGCTAGATGATGACTTTCAACGTGAGATATTCTATTATATTAGCTGATAATTCAACTTGGCGTATCGTACAAATAAAATTATTCAATTTTAATGTCAATAGTGAAAAGATGGAAAAGCTTTTGGATGAAATGGAACACAAAGCTGGACGAATCCTACAATTCCTGCAGCAGAATACTCCTAAAAAATTAATCCATGAAAATGGTGAGATGCAGGAGCAATTCGGAGAACTGCCAGCAAACTCCATCTGTTATCTACACAAGCATAAGGGAAGTATAAAAGGAGATGAAGAGTACATGAACACCTTGAAATATGATGTGATTAGAATGTTGATAAGAGGATCCGAGTTTCCTCATTCATTGTGTTTGCATGTTAGCAATGGTTGCTCAGAGTTTCATGTTTATTCCAAGAAAGGCTGGGTCTCTTTTCAGCCTGATAAAAACTCCCTTATAGTCACCATTGGAGATCTCTTACAGGTAATTAATTCTTTTTACAAATTTAATCACTTAGACTAACCGTGGCAGAATTTAAATAGTCACCTCAAAAAAGGCTGTTTGTGCAAATACCCCATATGGTCCATTATGACGCCCATCATATGTTCCTGTTATGCGTGAAAATTGCACGAGCTAGTCAGTTTTCGGATTGGTAATTAAAAAATAACCAGTATTTATAAAGTTATTGAAAAATAGCTAGTATTGTTTTGCTGAAACACGAAAATTAGTTCCAGCATAATATGCGAGATTATGGAGCCCCTGCATATAAACTTCCCGCATATTATGTTGGAACTCCATTACATTATGCTGGAAACTCAAATGTCAAAAAATTTGAACTCCAGCATATTATGTTGGAATATTTCCAATTTTTTTAAGAGCGTTTTTGTTCATATTTTATCTTTATATGAAAAAGTGGCTAAATTTTGATTTATTTTTAAAAATACGGCTATTTTTCAATTATCAGTTGTAAATCTGACTATTTTTTTGTTTTTTTTTCCGTTATAGAAACCCCACCAATAGCACCTACACTCGCAACCTTTTTCTTTTAGTATCTTTTTTCCATTTTCAATAGAATATTTCGAACAACTAAGGCCCCCACCCTAACCACATTGTCCTATCAGTATTTTAGATTAAATGAAAACATAATCATAAACAATCTTTCTTGGATTTGCAATATGAATCGTAAAGTATATATGAATTATGACTTGTTTTAATTTTTTTTTCTTTTTCAATTTTAATGTATTGATTTATTTTAGACATGGAGTGGTGGACAATACAAGCATGTGATAGGAAGGCCAGTTTTTCAAGGTCAAACAGAGGACTGCATTTCTATGGCTTTACTATTTTCTCCTCCTAAGATCACAGAAGACTCTACTAAGCATGAAAAAGAGAAGACCCTTTCAATTGGGCAACAATTCATTATTGCTATAGCGTTTACGCTTATTTACAATTTCTTGATTTATATCTATAAGGAGTTTTGAAGATCTTTTACTATGTTTTGCATATACAGGCTGTGGAATCATGGAGTCATCAGTTTCATTTTCTTTTGAATTTCTTTCCCGTTAAATTGTACATGGTTTCTGGATATGTTTATTTAGTTAAATGACGATTCTAAGAATTTGATGTCTCTGTCGTTCTTTTTTCCCTTTTGCTGTTGAGAAATGAACTATTGTAATGAAAGGGTGTAATGTCCATAATACCCTTTCATTACAATAGTTCATTTCTCAACACTCCCCCTTAGGCTAGGTAGTGCAAAAATGTGTAAACTCCTAGCTTGGATCTCAAGTAGTTATGTTGAATTTGCATAATCATTTAGTAAGGAGGTTTGCAGGTTGATCTCTGGTGTTGATGTATTTAGTAGTTATCAAACCTTGAGTGATTTTCTCCCTTATAAAATGGCAATCTATCTCAATTTGTTTGGTTCGTTCATGATAAACAGAATTAGCTACAATCTGCATTGCAGTTTTGCTATCACTGTAGATGTCAACTGGAAGGTTGAATTCTATTCCAATTTCCTTAAGCAATCCTTGCAGCCAAATTATCTTAACAACCGTGTCTGCAATACTTCTGTATTCAACTTCAGCAGAGCTTCTAGACACAGTAGTTTGTTTCTTGGATTTCCAAGAGACTAAGGAATCTCCTAGTTTGATAAGATAACCAGTTACAGATCTTCTGGAGTATGGGCATGCAGCCCAGTCTGCATCACAGTAGGCAGTGATGGTATTGTTCTTATTGCTGCTTAGTAGAATACCTTGTCCTGGTTGATTCTTCACATATCTGACAATCCTAAGAGCTGCCTCCATATGAGATTTTTTAGGTTGTTGAAGGAATTGACTCAAGGTTTGAACACTGGATGATATGTCTGGTCGAGTCATAGTTAATTAGAGTAACTTTCCCACTAACCTCTGATAAGTCTTCTGATCTGCCAAGGGCTCACTTTTATATTGTTCTGATTTGTCACAGTGGTCATCATATTCCTTCGTAGTAAGTTTAATGTTAGTATCCAAAGGAGTAACAACAGGTTTTGCAGCTGATAGTCCAACCTCTAATATAAGCTCTAATGCATACTTTCTTTGATGCATTAGGATACCTTGCTTGGATCTAGCAAATTCTATGCCCAAAAAATACTTCAAATCTCCTAGATCTTTCATTTTGAATGTTTATTGTAATATTGTTTTTGTTTCAATAATCAGTTTTAAGTTGTCCCTTGTTATTAACATATCATCTACATAAACTAGCACCATAATAACTCATTCTGAAGTTCTTTTGATGAATAGTGAGTGATCATATTGGCTTTGTTGAAATTGATTCCTTAAAAATGCTTCATTTAATTTTGCATTCCACTGTCTAGGGGCTTGTTTTAGCCCATAAAGGGAATTAATGAGTCTGCATACATGTTTGTTCTCCCCCTAACTCTTAAATCCCTGTGGAAGTTCCATGTAGATTTATCATAGAGGTCGCCTTGAAGAAATGCATTATAAACATCCATTTGATGTATATTCCAGTTTCTTGCAGCAGCAATAGCTAAAACTGTTCTCGTTGTTTTCATTTTTACTACAGGAGAAAAGCTTTCTTGATAGTCAATCCCTTTCTTTTGGCTATATCCTTTTGCTACTAACCTTGCTTTAAATCTTTCAACTTCTCCTGTAGCTTTGTATTTGATTTTGTATATCCATATGCATCCAATAGGTATCTTTCGTTCTGGCAATGACACAATGTCCCAGGTATGATTTGTTTGTAGTGCATCAATTTCTGCTTTCATTGTCTCTATCCATCTAGGATCTCTGATAGCTTCTTTATAGGATCCAAGTTCTGTTTCAATTAAAGTGGCAGCTATATAGGCTAAATAAGTAGAAGATAGTTGTTCATATGAAATATATTTTGAGATGGCATATGGAACTTCTTACAAACATTTAAGGATACAAAATCTTTCATCCAAATTGCAGGTTGTTTGTCCCTGCTAGACCTTATGTATTCTGGTTGTGTTAAAGTGGTATTAGGAAGACTTTGTGACTGAATGTGTATTTGCTGAGCTACATTTGGTAGTAAAGTGTCAGTTGTATGTTCTTGCGGTTCCTGTGAAGAAAGATCATTACCTTGATATATATTATTAATTTGAGCAGCTGAGTCTTCCATGTCTGCATTAGTATAGGAGTATGTGTTTTCCAAGTTACTGTCATTGACCATGAGCTGTTCTGTGTTGAGTTATGATTGTGTTTGCTGAGAGTTTAAATACTAGCTGTGTTGAAGATCTAGTGGCACATGGTTAGAGAATAGAGGTTGATTGCTTGTTTTTTGATGTTTGAAAGGAAATATATATTATTTAAATACCACATCTCTGTTGACAAGAAGATTTTCTCTGTTAAATCATATAACACATATTCTTTTTGAACTTTTACATACCCCATGTGAATTGCTAGCTTTGTTCTTGTCATTAACTTGTCATATTGGTGAATGATCTTGGCATAACACATACATCCCGGAATTTGTAAGTGTTGATATGATGGTTTTCTGTGATATAACCTTTCATAAGGAGTTTGTTTGTTAATCACTGGACTTGGAAGTCTATTTACAAGATATACAGCAACTAAAACATATTTTTCCTAGAATTTAATTGGTATACCAGCTTGGAATCTGATAGCTCTTGTAACTTCTAGGATATTGATTGTGCTTTCTTTCTGCTACTCAATTCTGTTGTGGAGTATAAGCCTATGTTCTTTGATGAACAATTCCTAGAGTTTGAAATAGATTATTATAAACTGAGTTTAGAAACTCAGTTCCATTATCAGTTCTCACTACTTTTACAGTCTTGTCATGCTGAGTTTTGATAAAGGTAATAAAATATTGTAAAATACTACACACATCTTATTTCAGCTTTAGTAGAAAAACCCAAGTCATTCTGGAGTAATCATCTATTATTGTTAAAAAGTACTTATTTCCATCATAAGTAGCAATTCTATAAGGACTCCAAAAATCCATATGAACCAAATCAAAATAATTAGAGGACTTTATGCTACTTGTAGGGAATGGAAGCTTTTCTGCTTTGCACATGGACAGACATTACACTTATCTAACTTGCTTGCTATAATATCTGCATTTACATGAATGAGTTTCTTAAGTACTTTAGTAGACACATGACCAAATCTCTTGTGTCACATCTCTACATCAGTCATTTTTAGATTTATTTGTGAGTCTTCACTTCTAGCAGCTAACATGATGTCTTCTTTCCTTTTAATTTCTGAGCATTCAAAGATGTAGAGCCCACAGTCTTCTCTACCAATCCCCTTCATTCTCCCACTGAAGAGCTTCTGAAAAATACAGGAATCAGGAAAGAAAGTAGCTGAGCACTATAATTCCTTGGTTAACTTAGCAACTGATAGCAGATTATATTTAAATTGTGGAATGTGAAATACATTTGAAACTGAAATACTATTTGATAATTTGCTAGTTCTAGTATGAGTGACATATGCCAGGTCCCCATTTGGCATATATACTTTCTTAGAATGTTGAGGTTGTCTAACTGTGGAACTGTCTATCAGATCTATATCTGCCACCATATGGTTGGTAGCTCCTGTGTCTATTATCCTTCTTGAATGGCTAGAAGATAATAAGGAATTGCATATACCTGCCATATTTGCTGAAGAATTGGCACCTGTGTTGACAGAGGGCATTTTGTTGAGCAGCTGCAGTATCTGATCATATTGTTCTTTGCTGAGAGTACAAGTTCCAAGATTTCCCAACTGACTTGAGTTGGCACTTTGAGGATGTACTGAGGCCTGCTGATCTCCAGATTGACTATAAGTTGTAGGTTTTTGTGAGTTGTTGAATTTTAAAGTGTTATCAGTAAACTCATTGTACCCTAGCTGACCAGTTTGTGTAGCACCATGATCAGTAACCACATTGTAGGCTGCATTGTTACCAGTTTCTCTTCTCATCTTTGGCTTAAAATCTGGAGGATATCCCACTAGTTTATAACAATTCTCTTTGGTATGACCTTTAAGCTTGTAATAGTCACCGTATAGATTATAGTTCTTCTTAAATTTTTCAGTGGTTCTTGTATATAATGCAATGACATATTTTCCTGCATTTGTACCTGGATCTGAACCTAGTATTCCAGCATTTGCTGTCATTAATTTTTGGCTTTCATCACTAACAATTATGGCATATGCTTGGTTCACAGTTGGAAGAGGATTTCTCATAAGAATTTGACTCCTAGCCTGGGCATACGACTCCTTTAGACCCATAAAGAACTGATACAGCTTTAGTTTCTATAAGTACACCATAAAATCTCTGGATTTTGGGCAATCATAACCTGGAGACCTCAAATTCTTCCCACATATCTTTGAGTCTTGAGTAATATACAGACACAGACGAAGTTCCTTGGTTCAAATTAGTAATTTCTCTATGAAGATTAAAAGATCTTGTGTCATCAATTTTGTTAAAATCTTTCAGACATATCATCCCAAACTACTTGTGCACTAGATTGATACATGATTCCAACTAGTAAACCTTTAGAAACATAATTCATTATCCAAGATAATACAATGGCATTTACACGTTCCCAATGACTCCACATTGTCAAAGGGAAGTTTTTTTTCTTACATATTCCATCTACTAGGTCTAATTTGTTTCGACCTAACAGAGCAACACGCATAGACCTATACCAAATAGAGTAATTTTCAATGCCAGTTAACTGAAAAGAGATAATCTGAATTCCACTTACATCTGCCGGCGACAAGAATAGAGGGTGATTGTAATCAACTCCGGCGACTGGATTCACTCCATTCATCGTGTACCCATTAATCTGAGTCATACGCTCCCCTGAACCAAGACCAGTTGTGGCTCCTAATTGTTCTTCAGTTGAACTCATTTCTTGAATTCCCAAATCGAAACTTTCAGAGAAAGGATTTAATAAATAAATTGGTTTTCTAGCTTCGAATTTTTTCGAGCAAAAGCTCTAATACCATGAAATAATCTGTAGTGTGCTAGCTGAAAGATTCATGAACAGAAGAGAGAAGAAGATGAAAGAGAGAGAAAGATAGAGATAGAGAGAAATGATAATTGTCAGAAGTGTTATTAATCTATTAAGCATCAATGAGTACACATAGGATATTTATA